AAATAAAAGTTTCCCCAGATCTTAGAGTACAGGTTGTATCCAGAGTCAATTGCAATGAAGAAAGCCCCAAGGCTACTGCTGCCAGAATTATGATGATATCATTGCCATAGTTTTACAGTAACATTTAGACTACACTACAGGAAGCTAGAACTATCCCATCCTTGTACCAGTAAAGAACTGCTGACCATTGACACCACTGAATAAATCACCTGTAGTACTTTTTTATCCTTTAATTATAGTTAATTGTTCTGCAGTAATGTCCATGTCTTGATTAAGCGCAAAGTGAATAATTAAACTAATATGCTCCTACTAACAGACTTAGTCCATTTCTCAGCTTGTTGAGACTGTCCACAAAGGTGATCCAGGCTGCCCACAACAGCCCATTCATAAGGATAAAAAAGAGTTCATCATCTATCTTAGCGCCTTTTTGGTGTGCTTCTCTTGTTCTTCTCACAACAGGGTTTTCCCTTGGTAACCACTAAAACTAACTTCCCTTTTTTCATGGGTTTTTTATGTTTCTGTCTTATAAAGACAGTCCAATATAAATCCAATCTGTGTTCTGTCAATCATCAAATACTCTCATCTGGCCAAAAGTGTCCCAAAAGTATTCCCTGTTACAGTAACTTCTTCCAGTCCAGGTAAGAGTTTCTGAATGTTATTAGTGTTCCCAAGGTCTCCATCCCAGAAGCTTTTTTGAAACGAAAACCATCAGCATCTGCCTTTTGGCTGGAATCCAGTGTCTGATCATTATCTACGTATGCTTTGACTCACATTAAAAAAAATGTAAGGATCCATGTTGCATAGAACTCAAACAGAGAATCCAAGCTGCCAAGATGGCTGCACTGCAGAAAGCAGAGCACCCAAAGGAAACATCAAGGAAAAGCAGAAACTTTCCCCAAAATTACCAAACTGGTACCTTTCATTATCAACACTCACATAAGCATACTATCTTCTGCATAAGTTGCGGGGGGGGGGGACCTTGAAGAATTACTCAATTACTTCGTGAACGCAAAGACTGGGATCAGACTCTCTGAATGTGATGACAGTTTATTTCAATTATTTATGATAATTCATCACAATGTACAGTAATGGTACTTGTAGCATAGTGAAGTCTCTGTAATAAGAACCCTCAGCAGAGCACTCCCCCCCACACACACTCCTCTTACATCAGACATTATGGTTAATATTTTATGCCTGCTTACTGTAACAGCAAGACACATTACTACATTTTTACATGTATGGCTATGAATTTATACTTCCATTCTGATGTACTCCTTCTAGTAACTCAATTAATCCAACAAACTTTTTGGTTCCTATATCCAGAGGCTGCAAAGCAGGCAATTTTTTCTTAATTTATGAATTTGCTCCACTTGCTTCCTTTAGTCTAAACACAGAAGTAAATTCCACTGATTTCAGTATTCCCAAGCAATGTCTTTAGGACTGAAGTATAAGTAATCAAGTACTCGAATGCTTTAATGTGTTTACAGAATCAGAACTATAACATTTTATTTTACTTAGTTTATTTCACTCAGAGACTAGTGAAAAACATATTTTGAGAAGCGATAAACTAAGCAAGTTTTTAAAAATGAAAGATTAGCAGAGTATTCCGATACAAGGCTGCCTTTATTGTATAACACTAAGCTCTGGTTCTGGAATGTCATTTATTATAAAGATTGTTAGGCAACCACATTTTAATAACATTCTCTTAAAGCTTTCAGTAACTCCTGATATTCTTTTCTTAAAACACATATTACACGGCTAATTACAATTGTGTCAGTTAATGAGAATGCATTATCAATTACTATGATTTTATACTGTATCCACTATTCTAGCACACAGAATATTCTCATACTCAAACAGACATTTATCTTGTTTATAAAGTAATTTTAATTAATCCTATAAAGTAGTTAGTAATCAATGTTTAAATATGAAATAACTGTTAGCACAACACACAACTCAATTTATGACTGACAACCAGAAAAAAAATATTAAATGAGACTTTAACAGAAGTGCATCACTAGTCTGAAGTAATGGTTCAGAGGCAATGATGTAGTGAGAAGGCTCTGGCAGCTAGCCATGATTTGTGGTTACTACCAACCAGACCGATACCTAGAAAGTTGTTTTTTTTTGGGGGGGGGGTAAATGAGTATGGTGCTCAGCCCATCATTATTTATATACCTTTTAAAAAAATTATTTATATGTTAATATTTATTTCCCAATTTTCTACTTGAGACTCAAGGTAGATTACATAGTACAGAACAATGTAATCAAATAGCATGAGAGATCTAATAACTAATAACTAGGATTTTAAAAATTAGAAAAGTGCTAAAAAATATCAGACCTGCTATGGCACGCAATGCAGAAAACGGAATTACAAAAAATTACAAAAAATGAAAACAATGCTGTAAGACCATGATAGAACATACAACAAATCAATGATATATAGCATACACTGTGGCATAGACTACTGTCCTGTTCTGTATTAGTGTTACAAAAAACACCCTGCCACACAACTGTTTTACGTAGTTTGCAGAATTAAAAGAAATGTGGGAGCCTTTCTTCCAGTTACTGAAATCTGAAGCTGTAAATACAATCTCCTTCTCTCTGTAAATCACTAGCTCAAGGCTTCTAATAGTGCCACCCAACAAATGGGTAAAATTAGCAACTGCCCAAACACATGCATTTTCTGTTGTGGATCCCATTTTGTGCAACAGCCTTTCTGAGGAAATCAGGAAAGCTCCCACACGTTTGTCATTTTGAAAACTATGTAGAACAGAATGTTTTAAGAGGGCATTTTTATAAAGGTAATAGGGCTATATAATAATGGAATGGTTCAGGAAGGAACTTTTATAAAAGGAACAGGACTGTGGACTATCTCATGGTATTCTATTTATTTATCTGTTTGCTGTATATATTATCTTGCTCTTACTGCATTGCCTTCTGCCTTTGTAATACACCACTTTCTGCATTGTTTGACATACCATGTGTAATGATTTTTGCTCTGTTTCAAATTGCTGTAATCATAGCCTTATTGCATTGTTTATTAGATGTCTCATCTAATTGACTGCATTGACTTACATTGTGTAATCTATTTTGAGTCTCAGTGAGAAAAGTAAGACTATAAATAAAAATAATAAATAAATATAATGCATAGGATCAGGCTGTGAGTAGGATTCTTTTCTAAGTGAACAAACATAGGGTCAAGCAACAGTGAAATGATCCCTGAGCTAAGGGATCCCTTCCCAGCAACTATGCATCTTCAGAGTAAACACCACAAGTCTCCCATTAATAAGATTCCTCTGGGGTAGCATATACCAGCAAAAGGAGATTTCTGTTCACTTACCTGTGGGACTAAAGCCCTTATTATTAGTCTCCTGTTCTGCCAAAAATAATTTCCCCAGCAATAAAGAGTTCTACAGAACTATTGTGGAATACTGTACTGTTCTCTCTTTTTCTTTGCTTTCTTCTGAGTCTGCTACAACACCACTTTTACCCCTTCATCCCATAATCTTTCTATCTCTCTCTCTGCTTTACTCCAACATGTTTTCTCTCCACCCCCTCCTGCAGGTTTTTTAAATCAGGACTCTTCAGCCAGGCCAACTGCTAATTGTGTTTTAGCCCACTGCATACAGAATTCACCCTTGGAAGATTTATGACAGGATTCACACCTTGTTAGCGCAACTCCTTCCTCTTTTACACTTGAAAGACCTGTGACAGATTTCACACCAGCACCTAGTGCTGATTGGAGGGGCATGACAACTGAGTAATGAGGCACTGTTCCTTTTTGCACCACAGTGGCTATGGGCCTGCCACCAACCCTGCGCATTCCTAAGCGCAATGAAGCCTCTCATCCCCAACACCGTACGACAAGAAGGCTGGCTGCTCTCCAGGCACTTCTGAAGTCCAGTGAAGATTTTATTTTATTAGATTTATATACCGCCCTCCCCAAATGGGCTCAGAGCAGTGTACAACAGTTAAAATAATACAATTAAAATAACATTAAAAGATCAAGGAAAGCCTTCAGACTTCTCCTGGGCTGCACAGGGCTTCAGAGGCACACTGCAGCAATCACTCACGCTGCTTTCCAGCTGCTTCCAAACTCCTTTCTGAGCATCTCCACCCTTCTTGTAAATACGAAGAAAGGTGCAGGCTCATCCTGACCCTAAACTGGCATTTGGAATAAGACAAACTACTTTCTGAATGCCTCCAAAGCCTTGAATGAGTTCAAGGAGAACCACCTTCTCCTGGGCCTAGAGGAAAGGAGAAGGGAGAAGATACCTTACCTCACACTGGGACTTGAAGTAATTCAGAAGCAGCAAGACTTCTCACTGCTCTGAGCACCTCAAAATCCTAGTCCAAGATCAGAGGAAGCCCCCCCACCCATTCCTCACCAGACTGAAAGAAGTGTTCGCCATTCCCTTCTTTGTTTTGTAGAACATCCAACTTTAGATAACTGCTTATGCCATTTGTTCCACAATAATGCCGATCTAGGTTGGCATTCTGATTCTAAACAGTTTTTAATATACATACAATTCCCTGAATTTAATTGAACTTACTCTAAAATGTGCCATGGGCTCAGGGTTTAAGTACATGTGTTTCAGATTAAGATACTAAACAGCTTGAATAGGAAGCTGGCAGCTTTAATTAGCTCATTTGTACCAGACGTAAATGTTTTACAGAAGTCAAAAATTATATTTGTTAGTAATAGAAAGAGATGATGATTGTGGACGTAATCACAATATCTGAGAAACACATTGTTTAAAATCTTTTGAATACAGCTTCAACAGCAACAAAAACCCTGTGAGACCCCCACATTCTCCACCCCTCCTCAAACTGTTTAAAGGACTGTTATCATAAATCTGTTTTCTGAACCATTTGGCTGTTGAAAACTGTTCAAATGTACCTGATATTTTAAGTTAAATTTGTGCAAAATGGCTCACTGTCAGAATACAGTAAATACTAGGAGTACTATAGGCAGTAAGATTAATCAATTTACATACCTGTGGTTTCTCAAGTTCCCAAGCCTAGTCATGTGTACACTCTCTTCATTTTCTCAGAGAGAGAGAGAGAGAGAGAGAGAGAAAATAACTTCTGCCAGTACTTGGCTTCCACACTGCCATCTATAGTCAAATAGAAGAAATCAGATATCTATTAATCTCCTAGTAGCTAACTGTCACATACAAACTCAAGTCTACGGTGCATTACAGTCTCAAGTATTTCCATCAATAATACATACAACAGAGACATTCATGGTTTCTTTTTAGTAACATCTAGCTAAAGTTAAGAATTTATTATATCTTGGACTACGTGAAGTCAGGCATACTTGCTGTCTGGGAGTTTAACGCTTTGCAGGTTTCGCAGACTGAGTATCGTAATTTAACATGAGCACATGGAGGCATCTCTGATTCATTTGGTATGAAAAGCTAAAATGCCACCATCGCTGTAAGTGTCCATTTAAATAACATGGCTATTCTATGAATATGTTTCCATATTAAATAAAGACTGTATGCCTTTTGGAAACTAGTACACCAACTCTGTAAACAAAGATGTTGGAAAGGGTGGAAGGGAAAAGTGCTACTGCCTATTATTTTGCTCATACAAGTTTCTGCATTTTATTTTTATTGCAACAGACAAGTGCTATATTAATAATTTCACAGAGATAACTTCTTTGCTAGAATTAGTGTGCTTTTGCAATCAGTTTAACATGCTAACTATAATAAACAAAAATTAAGCAGCTTCATCCGTGAGTCAGAAAAACGTAAGGGAATTAGCCTTGAAAGCTCATATGCCACTAGTAAGAAAAGCATAATACCTATTCTTGTATTACACACTTTTCATATGCAATGCTAATGGCAGTTGCCATCAAACCTACTGCTAACCATCCAAGTTAGAAGAAGTGCATTTCACCCCAAATCGCAGACTGACCAAGAGCAATTTCATCTAAACACCAGACCACAGTGCTTCATTGTGCCTTGCACCACACACAGAGGAATGCCTAAGTCTCCTCCTCCCTGAACTGCTAGTCAAGAAATATTGTGTTTCGCACATGGTAATCGTCCGAGTCCGGTTCAAAAACCGCCAAGCCACTTGTCAAGATACACACGTCATTTGTACTCTGGTCCACCTCTCTCTCCTCTTCTTAGTCCAGCTCCCCAAGTCAAAACATTATACCGTATTAGCAAACCAAGCAAGGGGGGGAAAGCAATGTGTGCAATCTTCCAGACAAACGCGGACAGCTATAGGTTACAGTTACGTGCCTATGCATTCTCAAACGGACACTGGACGCAGTGGAGAGGGAAAGCAAAGCAATTGCTTCCCTCCCTGAATCATCACTCACTCTCGCAGACCCCCTAGCCAGCAGGAGAAAGACAGCAAGTTGTTCTGAAGCTGCATTTCGTATCTGGGGAAGAGAGACAGACCCACGCCCCGTCCATCCCCGTCCCACCATCCATTGGCTCTGGAGGCGCGAGTCCATCTCGTCGCCCGGCTCCCTCCCTCCCTCCCCCAACGCCCGGCTGCAGCCACCAGGGGCTGACAATGCGGTGGAAACGGGTGTTGCCCACCTGCGCACATGGGCTCCTCTCTCGCGCGTGGTGGCTCGCGCTCTGTCTCTCTCAGCCTCTCGGTGCCGCAGGATGAAACGGCGGCGGCTGCTCCGTGCAGTTCGGGGCTTCCCCCCTCCCCTCGCTCGGTCCGCTCCAAGCAGCCAGGGGGAGCCTCACACTGCGGGTGCCGCTCCTTCGCCGCTTGGGATTCCTAAGGAGGGAGGCAGGCAGGCAGCTCTTCCCCCTCGCAGGCCACAAACTGCGGCTGCTGTTCCAAGCTTGGGCGCGCGCTCTTTCTGAGACACGTTTCTCCCGCCAGCTCCCCTTGTCGAAGTCCCAGCGCATCTACAGCCGGTGCCCTCCCCGCTTTCCTTCTCCTCCCCCTCCTCTTGCTTTTTATCACATGCCCCAGTCTCTCCAGGCCCCTCTGGCGCCGCTTGGTGAGTGCAGCCCGCTCGCCAGCCTGCCTCCTGCCTACACACAAGCTAGTCCGCCCCCTCCGCCCGCCTGCACCACAACCTGACTGAGCCACACAGACAGACACATACACAGGAGTACAGAGTCAGTCACCTGACTTCGTTGCTTTTCCCCGCCGCCCCCTTCCTTTTCCTTTCCTCCCCGACCACGCTCGCCTGAGCCGCTCAGGCCAGCCCACCTGTCTGCGCCCCCTCCCTCCTAGTCAGCCAGCCAGCCAGCCAGCCAACCACCCACCCTGCTCTCCCTGCTCTCCCTGCCAGCATACGGAGCCCCCACACAGCCTTGCAAAGCGAGAAGCAGGCGGCAGAGGCGCACACACGCGCACGGCACGCTGAACCCCTTTCCCTTGCCCGGCGCGCGCCACTGCCGACGGGCACACGCAGCAAGCTGCACTCTCGCAAGCCTCCACAAAAGGGCTAGATCAACTTCGACTGCCCCTCCTGGAAAGTGGGGAGGCAAAAAGCCGCAGCAATTTGACCCAGGCGGTTGCCGTGACCTGGCTTCATTGCTGTGGCATCAAACCGTTGCACGGCGGAGGTAAACAGATTGAGATAAATGCTTGGATTTGAAGCAGTCTTGCCTCAAATCAAAATTATGTGAAAGTAAGTGCAATGCAAATCCCTTCCAACTCACTTAAACCCTCTTACTTGAAAATAATAAGTTCTTCTAACTCCGTGCGACCCACTTCAAAGGGACCGTGTTTAGAACCAGGATTTTAGTCTTACTGGAAGTACCCTGAAGGCACTGGAACTGGCATACCACTCTAGACCTATTTACTTCGGAGTGTATCCCGGTTATTAAAGTAGAATATATTTCAAGTTCCTGTGTTTTAATTGACTTAAATCAAAGACTTTCTGCTAAATTGCAGTTGAAAGTAATGTAGGACTTCAAGCGGAGTAATTATGGAATGGCTCTTAAAACCTGCCGTTTTAGGAATGATTGCTCGAAAGTAAGCCTTCAAATGTCTCACATGGCCTGATCCTATGGATATATTCTTGGAGGCATGATCCACCTGAATCATATACTAACTATCAAATAACTGCATAGAACTGCCTAATTGCTTTCGGAGGGCATCAGAATTGCAGCCTGGAATGAAGCAACTGGCATGAGGATTCTAACCACAGGTTTTATGTTTGCTACAGCAAGCAAAAGAGATTCCTTTATGTGTTGTCAAGGTGCTTCCCACTTAAAGCAACCTATGAATTAATTACCTCCCGAATGTCCTGTGGTTAAGAGCCCTACTCAGGCCTCACACACTGAGGGCCCTGGCTTCCTTTATTGGGTCAATACATCATGCTGGGTCTTTGGCCCAATATGCATTTAGCATTTGCTCAGTTGTTTTACCAAACCCACACTGGAACAGAAAAAGATGCAGTTCAAAACCACATTCAAATACCCCAGGCCAACACCGTACTGACTGCAGAGTCACCCCCGAATGGCCATAAAACGGCCATAAATCTCTGCAGACGGCCCCGATAAAACCAGAGATCAAACAAAGTGAAAGTGGCATGCAGTCTGGACACGGCCATAAAATGCGACACTCAGTCAAAGTGAAAGTGGCATGCAATGTAGACAGGAATTTCTGTTCCAGTGTGGGTTTTGTATAACAGCAGAGCAAATGCTAGATGCAGATTGGGCCTCCGTCTTTTCCTAGTTGTGTTTTCTCATCATGTAGGGTTGCCAGGTCCCCCCTCCCGCCATCGATGTGGGTAGGGTTGGGAAACCTCTGGAGATTTGGGGGTGGAGCCTGGGGAGGACAGGGACCTCAGCAGGGTATGATGCTATGCAGGCCACCCTCCAAAGCATCCATTTTCTCCAGGGGAACTGAGTTCTGTAGTTGAGAGGGATAATCTCAGGCTCTCCTCACTATTCTACACACAATGCCATACTATAATAATAATAATAATCCAGAATCAGATGAGCTGTAATTCTAGAATTAGGGTTGTAAAACCAACCAGAAATCTAAAAACAGAACTCAAGCAAAGCATAAGTCTTAACACATTAAATGATGCAAAAATTACGTAGTAGGATCCTAGTTTTAGCAAGCAATACACAGTAAAGTTACTTGAATAAATTATTAGGGGGGCTGTGGTCTATACACAGTAATATAGACCACAGCCCCTAATAATTTATTCAAGTAACTCTGTGAAACATTTAGTAGTGTGACGCTTTGCCTGCATAGAAAAGCCCTCTTGAATAATTCAGTTTTGCATAGTTTGCAGAAACCTTCCAGCACATTTTAGAACTGTAGTTTTAGCATCGTGGACAATAAATTTTTAGATATAAATAACCACTAAAAATACCTCCCATATATGTAACTTTTCATAGCGTAAAAACAGACAAGGTAATTTGCCTGGCTTCATCAGGTAAAGATTGAAAATTAACACAGAGAAATGGCAGCATTGTTGGTTTCCTGATTTTTGTCGTGTATTACACATTGTAGTGTATAATCAACATTTAAAAGATTCATAAGATTCGTAAAACAGATTTTCCATTGACATTGTTTCATCAGGTTAGATTTCATCGCAAAGCAAAAGCCACAGTGCACAATAACGTATTATAACTTCAGTCATGTTGCTATCTGAATGCCCGCCTAGTATAACAGCCACTATAGTGCAGTGGTTACAGTGTTGGGAGGACCAGGTTCAGATTCCCACTCTACAATCAAAGCTTGCTGGGTGACCTTGGGTCATTCACATTCTCTCAGTCTAACCTACCTCACAGGGTTGTTGCTTTGGGGATAACATGGAAAAGAGGAGAGTTATGTAAACCACCTCGGGTCCCCGTTGGGGGAAAAAGAGGGGTATAAATAAAGTAAATAAATGAAATAAATATCATTAGCTACCAAACTGGGTTTCAGACTCAATTTTTAGTAAAAATCCATCTTTGTAATCATTTGTCCTTTAGGTAATTTAATCATGGCATTACAATAGCTGGAAACCCATGCCTAGGCTTCACATCATCTACTCAGGATTGTAAATTGCACACCTCACAGTAAAACTATTAGATGTGTTGCTATAGTACTGTGCATAATAATATAGATTATTCACATAAATAAGAAAATAATGTGAAATACTGCTTACCAGTGTTCCCTCTAAGCTGAGTTAGTGTGAGCTAGCTCACAGTTTTTTAGCCTCCGACTCACACATTTTTCTCTTAGCTCAGGAAGGATGGCTCCAGAGCAAACTAATTTTTGCAGTAGCCAAATTGCTCACTCAGAGTTCTAATGCTAGCAGCTCACAACATAGAGTTTTTGCTCACAAGACTCCACAGCTTAGAGGGAACATTGCTGCTTACTGCTAGGAAAGTGCCCTTAGGCTTGTGCTGTAAGGGTTCAATTGAACGAGAACTGGGCTTGGAGGGTACATGCCATCTTCTTTAGGCCCCAGCGAAAAGGATGAAAATAGCAGGCTCCTTGCTTCCAATGAGTCCAACTCCTTACCCTGTCTGGCGGAATGCTCATGCCTATATGCCCTTCTATGTTGCCATGTGTTGTTTGAGGGAAGGAAAAGTGGATTTTTTTTTTCTTAAGCAGGATTTTTTAAAATACCCTAAGTGTTTCTCCTAAGTAAGGACCACCCTTTCCTTACCCATTATTATATGGCTAGTGTATGTCACAGAGCCAGACTAAAGACCCTGGACAGTCCAAGGAGAGAAAAGTAAAAGCGAAACCAAACAGGCATCCATAATGCTGATTTGGATTTGGACTGCAGCATGGGGGAGTTAAGCCCACTACCATTTTTCCAACTTCAAAAGACTACAGGTCCTATATCTGCAGCCTGAATTGCCCAGCTTTGGCCATGCTCGGCAGAGCTTGGGAGCTAACCATGGTCAGGTCTTGGATGCTAGACTACCAAGGAAGACTGGGGTTGCTGTGCTGAAGAAGGCAATAGCAAATCACTTTTGCTCATCTCTTGCCTGGAATGCCCCATGAATGGGGTTCCCATGAGTCATTTGTGAGTTGACAGTATGTTGTTGTTCCTGTATCAGCAGGGCAAACTGCAGCTCTGTGCAGTCATTTCAGATTGGCAAATTGCCAATGAGGAGGGAAACACTTAACGTGCTCTGCCCTATGTCATGGTCCTGACTTGATCTGAATTGAGGATCTTCAATGCCTGTTATTTATTTGAAAATACCTGGGAACCCTACACTTTTCCACACTTACCTGGAAAGTAAGTTTCAATGAACAACGGGGGACTTTCTTCTGAGTAAACATGTATAGTATTACACTGCCAGTGTCTCTTCAGGTTTGGTTCTCAATGCACCCGCTTTACTAGTAAAGGGAGTGGTTTTAACTAATAATGCATTTCTAAGCATACTTGCTTGGAAGTGTTACTGAAATCCACCCACACACCTATCTTCCTAGTTTTGTACTGAGAATAGGGTTAAAAGTTTCACAGATGAGTGTTTGCCCAATAATACTGAGAGATATTTACCTGTACCCTTCCTTGTTTGACTCACTAAAGCATTCTCGGAAGGATATAAAATTTGGTAACTATGGTCACCCAAAAATATTGTGTCAGCTGGTGCTATTCATCTATTAGGCTTTAGGCATTTATTCTGTTTCTATTTTAATTAATTTGAACTGTCACCCAAATTGACTTTTAAACATGAAATAATTTGGTAGGCATAATTAAACTCTAATGGGGAAAATAAAACATTTTGTATTTTAGTATACACGTTAACCACTCATCAACTGAGCATTCATGTCTGATCTTTTCATATGCTAGATACCAGATCAAAGAATCCTTC